CCTTGTGTAGCAGCCTTTGCAAACGGATTCCGTGTGCAGCGACCATACACAAGGATTTCAAGTGTGGGGGATCTGCAGTGGCCTTCACACTTAGAATCCTTTTCTAGCAGCTTTTACAAAGGGATTATTTTTGTGGCGACCTTTCAACAGGGGTTCCATTGTGGGGGGATCTGCAGTGGCGGCACCTTGAGCCCAGGAAAGCTAAATATGAGAGCAGGAAAGACAGGAACAACCGGAAAAAAAACGTGTGCCTTCACCGGGAACAAATATTAGGAAGACCCGTGATTGTCGGTATGCTTATGGTGCAAACTCTCCACGCTTATCTTGTTGTAGCAGCCTTTACACAATGATTTCTTTTGTGGCGACCTTACACAAGGATTCCAAGTGTGGGTGACCTGCAGCGGCCTCCACATTGAGAATCCTTTTGCAACAGCCTTTACAACATAATTCTTTTTGTGGCGGCCTTACAGCAGCGTTTTCATTGTGGGGGGATCTGCAGTGGCGGCACCTTGAGCTCAGGAAAGGTAAAAAGGAAAACAGGAAAAAACAAGAAAAACAGGAACAGCCATGTGTGCCCACGTGGAAAATAGGAAAGGTAGGAGGACCTGTGGCAGTCGGTATGCTTATGGTACAGACTCTCCACACTTAGAATCCTTTGTAGCAGCCTTTATAAACCGACTCCTTGTGTAGCGATATTACACAAGGATTCTAGACGCTTCGCTTATCCCCACCAGCCCATCCCGAAACGATGTCCAGGCGAGTTGAGGTGATCAGGGAAGTGCGGCAGCAAAGAGGAGGACGGCCGAACCGTGCAAAGGAGTGAGGAGGAAAAGAAGGAGGTGGATGGATGGATGGATGAGGGAGTGGGAAGACGGAGGATGAATAGGATGAGGAGGAGGCGGAGGAGGAGGAGGAGGAGGAGGAAGAGAAGGAGTAGGAGCAGGAAGGAGGAACAGGAGGAGGAGGAGGAGGGCAAGCACAAGGGCCAGAGGTCTCTTGGATGCCTCTAGGAGCCTCTTGGAGTATCTCTTGGGCGATTCTTGGGGGCCTCTTGGGACGTCTTGGGGGTCTCTTGGCGATCCTGGGGGGCTCTTCGGGGTCTTGGGTGCCTCGGGGGGGGGCCTCTTGGGGCCTCTGAGGGTCTTCTTGGGGGCCTTCTGGGGGCCTCTTGGGGGCCTCTTGGGGCCATCTTGGGGCCATCTTGGGGCCTCTTGGGGCCTCCTGGGCGCTTCTTTGTGCCATCTTGGAGGAGATCTATCAAAGAAGAGCTGAGCTTTAATTAGCGCTGCCCCCCCAGGAGGCCAAAATGGGGCCAAAACCCTGCTAAAATCAATGATTGTGGCTTCCTCGCCGAGGCTGTTTTGGACGCTCTGACCGCTCCCCGCTCCTCCTGTCCAGGTCAGTGGGGAGGGGGTAGGGGGAGGGGTAAACCCCTCCCCGAAGGGGAAGAGGGAGGGGTGGAAGAGGAAACGCCCTAAACCACCGACGCCCAGAGGGCTGGTGGGACTTAAAGTGTGGGGGATCTGCAGTGCCCTTCACACTTAGAATTCTTTTGAAACAACCTTTTGCAAAATAATTCATTGTGTGGCGGATTTGCAAAAGGGCTTCCATTGCGGGGGGATTTGCAATGGCGGCACCGTGAGCCCAGGAAAGCTAAAAAGGAAAACAGGAAAACCATGAACAACAGAAACAAAGCTTGTGCTTTCACAGGGAAAACAGGAAACAGCTAGGAAGACCTGTGACTGTCGGTATTCTTATGGTGCAGACGTGCCACAATTTAAATCAGTGTGCAGCAGCCTTTACAACGCATTCCTTGTGTGTGGACCCTACACTAGAATTTCAAGTGTGGGGGATCTGCAGTGGGGGTCTGCAGTGGCGGCGCCTTGAGGAGACAGGAAAACATTAAAAACCATATGTTGCCACAAGGAAATGCAGGACAAAAAACATCGAAACATGTGACTGCCGCTGTTTTTATGCTTCCGGTTTTTCCGTGTGAAACACAAGGTTGTTTGCATTTATTGTTGTTTGTGTGTTGTCCTTGTTTTCTTTCTCCCTCCCCTGAGTGCCCTGGGGTCTCCGAGCGGCCCACGGCCCTTCCTCGCAGCAGAACGGAGGAGGGGAAAACAGGAAAAACATGACAAGCAATAAAATCCTTGTGTTTTTTTTTTCAAAGGGAAAAACTGGAAAAGCCGCGAAACCTGTGACTGTCGCTGTTTTTCAAGTTTTTGGTTTCCTGCTTTTTCCATGTGCAAACAAAGGTTTGTTACTGTTGTCCCTGTTTTTCATGTTTTCCTCCTCCCTCCCCCGAGCGCCCTGAAGAGTCCGAGCGGGCTACGAATTCTCCGCCCAGAATACGATTGCCTCGGGCCCTAAGGCCTCAGGTGATTACCATTCGATTGGGATTGGATGTGTTGTCAAATCATATTACAAAAAGCGGATCACTGATCCAGATGATTTGTTCGTTGTTTGCGAGGGGCCTCACAGCGTTCCTTTCTCTCCGCCCAGTGGGCCCCTCTCGGGGCCATCTTGGCAGCTTCTTAGGCCTTCCCGGAGGCCGTCCAGTGGCGATTTTAGGTGTATGTTGGACCACCTTGGGCTTTCTGAAGACCGACAAGGCGAGAGCATCGGCGCTTCAATGAGTTTCAATGATTTGGACCCCTGTGGAGCCCGAAGGCTTCTAAGATGGCCCAATCGATGCCCAAGATATCCCAGGAGGATCCCTTGAGGCGACGGGGAGTTCGACGGCCCTTTCGACCGATCGTTGGAAGGATATTGAGGGGTGTTGTATGCTGGAGTCGGCTCGGGCGGATTTGGTGTCCAAGAGGGCCACGATGGAATTGCTGTGAACGCCAAGCCCAGGCTCGTGAACTTAAGGAATTCATTTTTCAGGGCCCCCAAGAATCCAGAACCCACGTAATCTTCACATCTGCATGAGGCTTCGGGCACCCGACTACGTGCTCAACCCACGGTGGCGTACAGTGCAGAAGAAAACAAATACCGTAGGAAGCACTGAGCAGGATGCATGGCAATTATACGAGAGAGTTGAAAGTATAATACAGAGGGTGGAGGCCGGAAAGAAAAATACAGTGGTCAGCAAACGGAGATTAGAGATTAGAGAGTTATCTGGCAGAAAGGGTTGAGAGCACAGGGGAGATAGAGGGTAGATGAGAAAGGGTGCAGGGCCAAGTGCAGACAGCAGGGAAGAGAGAGTTGGGAGTAGGAGCGGTACCAAAGATACTCGGCCACAGAGGATAGATGTGACAGGCCCAGCGGTACAGACGATATTGTAGAGAGTCTGAGTACAGATCAGCTAACGCATTGCGCATCTAGTAGAATAGAGGGTGGATTATTGATATAGGCCCAGCTTCCCACCCCCGAGAATTTAGAACTAGATTGTGCTCTTGATGCTCAGGCCATCTCTTTATTCGGTGGCGGTGCACTTTGTGGTTCATCTGCCCGTGTCTTTGGTTCTTCGTCAAGTCCCCGGCCATGCTGGGAGCTGGTCTCTTTGCGGTTATAGAAAATGGTGCGCCAGATAATAACACAGTATCTTGGTGTATGGTGTATTCGTTTCTCTGAAACAAATATCGATTTCCTGTCCACTTTACGCGAGAAGCTTCACACGCGATTTGTTAACAGAAACCGTTGTGCTGCCCGAATAATTCCGCATACATCTCTTGAGGGATATTCGCCCTTTGTAACGAGAAGCCAGATTTCTAATCGAAGCCGTCGCGGATCGTCGGACCTCGTCGCCGTGGCAGGGAGCGCGGCGACGAGGCAGCAATGTGTCTGAAATTGGAGGAGGGTGCAGAGAAGAGAGTGGTGCGTGCACGGCGCGGAGATGGTCGACATCTGCACGAGCGCGCACGGCCAGCAATGAATGCGCAGCCCGTGTGGCCCTGTTTTGAAGGTGCTCTGCGCGACGGTGCGGACCGAGGCAGAAGTTCCCAAGTGGGTTCCACATTCCTTGCAAGGGGGTGGGGCCTTCGACTGATTATTTTCATATACAGAGCGCATATTGCAGATAAAACACACAGCTGATACAGACTTTAGGGCGATGGTAAGATAGCGAAATGCAATGATCAATTCGTATAGAGGAAATGGAGTGCAGAGTGCAGCTCGGCGCTACGCAGCGAGGGGAAACAATGTGCCCAGCAATCGGTGCTACTCCGTGAGCGGTGGAGAACAGAGAGTGCACACAATGGGCATTACACAGTGTACAGTGTGTGCTAGGTCGTGGTTGCATGCAGTAGTTTTGCATGGAGAGAACAGGTAGCCAGGAGTGCCACACTCAGAGCAGTGAGTAGAGAGTTCATCACATAGCGAAGAGAATCGATCGCCGATGGCCGAAAGCCCAAAAGCCGAGGAGGGAATAGAGCGTAGAGGGTGGCAAGTAGAGAGTCCAGAGTAGAGGGTGAACAAGAGATGGTAGAGAGAGCGAGGCAGTGAGAAAACAATTATTTGCAGTGGGGCAGTGGGTATAGAGTATAGGCGAGATGCTATACAGAAGGGAACCGTGGGCAGAATCCACACACATGTGCATTCATTACGGTGCAGAAGGTAGAGACCATCAAGTGAATTTTGGAGGGCGTGCACGTTGGAGTGAAGGATAGCAAATGGCTTGGGAGCATGGTATGTAAGAGGTGAGGTTGGAGCGGAGAAGTGACAGGGCGGAATGCGGACGTTAGAGGGCATTGGGGGTTGCAAAGGGCCAGGAGGGTAGGGAGGGCACGAAGGGAAGCGGGGGTAGAACACGCATGAGGCAGAAAGAGCAGATGACAGAAGGCATTCCTATGGGACAGAGAAGGTGTAGAAATCATATCTATAGCGCACAGAAAGCACAGGGGAGGAGAGAGAGAGTAAAAACATAAATAACTAGGGCAGCACGTGTATCGGAGAGCGTAGACACCATAGAGACGCGCGCGCGGATACAATGTTCCAGCCCCCTCCCCCTCTCTTTCGGTAGCGCGTTCCGCTTCCAGTGCCCCATGCTTCTGGAGGAGCCAACAGCCAAGGACGGCGCCCTGAGCGCGCGCCTGCGGGCTATCGAAGCGGTGTCAATCAGGAGACTGGGAGGGAGGGCGAAGAGCGCAACATGTAGAAGATGTGCCACCGGTTCCGGCGCATGTGTGTATCTATCTATCTATATATATATATATATATTATTATATATATATAATATATATATAATATATATACATACACATACGTACATGTATGTATGACTGTAGGTGTGAAATATAAACAGATACGCCCCCCCAGGGGTGCCACACCTCTTCGTGGCATCTGCGGAACGCTCCCAGTACCGCGCCGCCTGGCCTCCTGGGGAACCCACAAAACGCCCAGGGGCAGCCCAAGGCGACCCCGAGAAACCCCCAGAATGTAAAAGAACAGCCCAAGGCGCTCCCAAGCAACCCAAGATAGCCTTCGGGCGGCTCTCCAGGCTCCCAGGAGGCCTCCAAGAGACTTCAAGAGAGCTCCGATCCGAGAGGCCTCCCGAGAGCGCCCGGAGAACCTAAAATTATTATTTCTCATCTGGTCTGCCGAGGTCGTTGGCCTTCTCGCCACTTCATGCTTCCATCGCTCCAAGACGGCCGAAGAGGCCCCCAAGACCGCCCCCAAACCGCCCCAGAGGTCCCCAAGACGGCCCCAAGACGGGCCAAGCAGGCCAAACAAATGCCCCCCCCCGGGGGTGCCTCCGAGGTTGAAGCCGCGGTGCCCCGAGGCGCGCCACACCGGCCGCGAGACGCGGTCAAAAGGGCACGCTCGAGCTGGAAGCCGTGGTGTCCAGAAGCGCCCCCCAGCGAGAAGTGGTCAGCCGGGGGCGTCCGAAGTGGAAGCCGTGGTGTCCTGAGGCGGCCTCTCCGGCCGCGAGACGCGGCCAAGGGGGGCCGTTCGGAGGGCGTCCGAGGTTGCAACCGTGGTGTCCTGTGGCGCCCCCCCGCCGCGAGACGCGGTCAAGGGGGGGGGGGGTCCAGGCCCGAGGGGCGGCCGAGGTTGAAGTCGTGGTGTCCTGGGACGCTTCCCCCTCATCGTTGTCCTCGTACTCCTCTAACTTCCTCCTCCTCCTCCTCCTCCTCCTCCTCCTCCTCCTCCTCCTCCTCCTCCTCCCCCTTCTCCTCCTCCTCCTCCTCCTCCTCCTCCTTCTCCTCCTCCTCTCCTCCTCCTCCTCCTTTTCCTCCTCCTCCTCCTCCTCCTCCTCCTCCTCCTCCTCCTCCCCTCCTCCTCCTCCTCTCCTCCTCCTCCTCCTCTCCCTCCTCCTCCTCCTCCTCCTCCTCCTCCTCCTCCTCCTCCTCCTCCTCCTCCTCCTCCTCCTCCTCCCTTCCTCCTCCTCCTCCTCCTCCTCCTCCTCCTCCTCCTCCTCCTCCTCCTCTTCCTCCTCCTCCTCCTCATCCTTTTCCTCCTCCTCCTCCTTTTCCTCCTCCTCCCCCTCCCCTCCTCCTCCTCTCCTCCTCCTCCTCCTCCTCCTCCTCCTCCTCCTCCCTCCTCCTCCTCCTCCTCCTCCTCCTCCTCCCTCCTCCTCCTCCTCCTCTCCTCCTCCTCCTCCCCCTCCTCCTCCTCCTCCTCCTCCTCCTCCTCCTCCTCCTCCTCCTCCTCCTCCTCCCCCCCAGTCGCGAGACGCGGTAAAGAGAGGTTGCCCTGGGGGCGTCCGAGGCTGAAGCCGTGGTGGCCCGAGGCGCCCCCCCCGGCGTCGACGCGCGGTCGAGTGGGGGTGTTCGGGAGGCGTCCTTAAGGCTGAAGCCGTGGTGTCCCGAGGCACCCCCTGGGCCGTGATGCCCAGGTTCCATGAGGGGGCGTCCGACGTCGAGGCCGTGGTGTCCCGAGGGGCCCCCCTGGCCGCGAGACGCGGTCGAGGGGACGGTCCGGGGGGGACGTCCAAGGTGGAGGTCGCGGTGCTCTGAGGCGCGCCCCAGCCGCGAGACACGGTCAAAGGGGGTAGTCCAGGCTCAGGGGGGTCGTCCGAGGTTGAAGTCGTGGTGTCCCGATCGAGGCGCCCCCCCCCTGGCAGCGAGACGCAGTCAAAGGTGGGTGCCCGGGGGGCGTCCGAAGTTGAAGTCACGGCGTCCCGAGGCGACCCCCCGGCAGCGAGACGCGGTCAAGGGGAGGTGCCCGAGAGGAGTCCGAAATTGAAGTCGCGGTGTCCCGGGGCGCCCCCCCCCCCCAGCAGCGAGACGCGGTCAAGGGGAAATGCCCGAGGGGCATTCGAGGTTGAAGTTGTGGTGTTCCCAGGCGCCCCCCTGGCTTCGAGACGCAGTCAAGGTGGGAGGCCCGAGGGGCGCTCAAGGTTGAAGCCGTGGTGTCCCGAGGCTCCTGCGCGTCCGCGAGGTGCGGTCAAGGAGGGAGCGCCCAGGGAAGTGTGCCCTGTGGTGCCCTGTCCGCAGAAGAGCCTCCGGAGGACTCCTGTTAGGCGCCTAAGATTTTGTTGGTGCATCTCTGGAGCTCTCAACTTGTCGGCCGAAGGATTAACCAAGAGGCGCTTGCGATTCCGCTGGCCCCCAAGAAGAGGGAGGAGCGCGTGGAAGTTGTCTGGTGGTTTCTATGGCTGCTTTGCATTATTTCATGTGCGATTGTAGGTGTGCGTGTGTGGGTGTGCTGTGTTGTTTGTGTGATGTTGTGTTTCGTCTCTGTGATGCATGTGCTGGTTCTCTCTCTCTCTCTCTCTCTCTCTCTCTCTGTTTCTCTTTATTGTTGTTTTTTGATACCTCTTATCTATATATATATATATATATATATATATATATAACCGTAGCCATTTTGGCTCAAGCCAGGCTTGCCAAAGTGTGCCGCGCAATTCATGTGGTGCTCATCATGTCTGCTTGCATCTTGTCCTGGCCCGCGGCTCTGCTGACTGCTATTGCGCTCGTGGCGCGATGTCTGGTGGTCGCCTCTCAGATCGTGGTTCATCAACTTCTCGTCGTCTTCTCGGGGAGGGAGTTCGCGTCCACTGCACATGCCATCGCCTCCCTCCGTAGGGGGCACGCTGCTGGGTTTGTGGATGTCCTGCTCTACCTGAATGCGCTGGCCAACAGGGCGAAGCACGCGCGCTTCCTGCTCCTTTTCGACTTCTGCGCGCGGAGGCGCCCAGAACGCGGAAGGCGGCACTTCAATGGTCGGTCTCTCTCGACCTTGAATGTTGTCCCCGAGGATTTCATTTTCTACGATGTTGTGGAACCGGTTGCAATTCGTCTTGCTGAGCTTCTTCCTGTTCGGCCATCGCGGCAGGCTGCTTCGAAGTCTTCTGGTCGATCGCCGGTTGTTATTCGATTGGCAGATCTAATTGAGTGCAGAGTCGCTGCTCCAGGCATGGACAAAGCTGCTCCTGAATTATTTCCTAATGTTGGTTCTGCATCTTTGGTTGGTAAAGCTACGAATTCTGGCACGGATTGCACACATGAATTGAATTTGTTAGTTGACGCTCAAAATGCCACTATTGCAATGCTGGTGCACCAATTGGAGATTCTAAGCGTGGGGACAGCCCCAGTCGTGGACCTCGCCGCTCAAATCCAGAGCAATACGCAGGATGTTCGGACCTTGCGTTTGTCGCTCGGTGCGGCGGTGGAGGCTTCCCTGGACAAGCGCCTGCCTTCCAAGGTGATAGCTCAGGTGGACAACAGGCTCAAGGACACGCTCGAGCAGGTCACGCTTGACGTCCAGGCTTCTCTGGACAAGTCTTTTTCGGCCCTGTCGGCTGCTGTGAAGGCCCCCCTGGGTGATGAAGGGAAGCAACTTCGCACCGAGCTGGAGGAGAGGCTTGCGGCAGTGAAGCTAGACATGACCAGGGATATGGCCGCACTGGGGGAGTCGACCTTGCCGAGTGGATCCGCCCTCCTTGTCGATTCGCTGGCCGTGAGGCCGTCAGAGGAGCCTTCGATCGTCGAGTATAAGAAGATGGTTGAGGCAGATGGCAGGAACACGACCGAGGAGACCATGAGCTGCCACGATGGATGGACAGATTCGCAGGGTTCCCAGCTCGTGTCTGGCGGCTCGGTCGTCACGTGCCACCTCACTGCCGAGGCCCTGAATAATAAGAATGGCTCGATCGTCAGCTTCGCGGGCGACCGCGTGCGCGTGCGGCTCGGTGCGGACCCTGTGTGCAAGCGCATCAAGCCTGCCAACCTGCTGGTGATCGCGGACGCACCTGCCCAGAAGGTGCGCCACCAGAAGGAGGTCGTCTGGGCGACGTCGGAGCAGATCGACGCCATGCTCCAGCGGGATGGTCTTACGCCGACTGGACTTCCGACCACAGCGGGTTCGGCCCGCCTATCTACTACTTCTTCTGTGGGCCCCCGTGCGGCCTCTCTCGAAAGCTAAGTTGAACTGACTCATTGTGTAAGAGTGATATATATATATATATATATATATATATATATATATATATATATATATATGGAGTGGGGGGGCTGAACCGAACGGTCAGTCACTGTCCCTGGGTGCGTGGCTGAAGTGGAATTCCTCGATGCGGATTATTGTTGTTTGTTGTTGTCGTCGTCCCACCCGCGACCCCCCCGCGACCCCCCGCGACCCACCCCGCGACCCACCCGCGACCCACCCCGCGACCCACCCCGCGACCCGCGACCCGCGACCCACCCGCGACCCACCCGCGACCCGCCCGCGACCCGCGCGCGACCCACCCGACCCCCCCCGGCGACCCACCCCGCGACCCACCCGCGACCCACCCGCGACCCACCCGCGATCCACCCCGCGACCCACCCGCGACCCACCCGCGACCCACCCGCGACCACCGCGACCCACCCGCGACCCACCCGCGACCCACCCCGCGACCTCCCCAAAATTTTCGGCGCGTGCGGCGGGTTTCTTTTGCATTCGCTCCAGGTGGAGAGCCTGCGACCCACCCGCGACCCAAACCGCGTTCAGTGTACAGATCAAAATGTTCGGCGCCTGCGGCGGGCTGTTTTCGAATTCCCCCCAGGTGGAGGTGGAGAGCCCGCGACCCACCCGCGACCCAAACTACGTTCACTGAACAAGCCAAGGAGGAGGAGTAGGAGGAGGAGGAGGAGGAGGAGGAGGAGGGCGCCATCGACAGGGAAAGTGAGGGCCACGAGGTCCGCCGGTTCGACGCCCGCGTCGCCCGCGCCCGCCCCCTCTCTCTTATCCGCATTTGCGGGGTGCTATGTATATATATATATATATATATATATATATATATATATGTGGTGAGTGTGTTTAGGGCGCAGGCGTCGTTTTCAAGCTTTTCCTCTGGCAACGCTGATCGACGCCCCCCTCCGAGGCTCTCAGAGTCCCACAAAAGGTCTCATGGGCCCCCTCAGTGGCTCTCGGAAGCCATCGAAGGCTCTCCGAAGGTTTCGGTGGCCTTCAGAGGTTTTCAGATAGCTCGCACAAGCTCTCATGGGCCTTCAGAAGCTCTCAGAAGATCACAGAAGCTCACAGAGGCTTTCAGGGTATCTCAGAAGGTCTCAGGAGCTGTCAGCAGCTCTCCGAGGCTCTCAGAGTCTAGCAGAAGCTCTCAGGCTCTCAGAGGCTCTCAGAAGCCCTCACAAGCTTTCAGAAGGTTTCAGATGCCTTCAGAAGTTTTCAGAAGCCTCAAAGGCGTTCAGAAGCTTCCAGAGATTCTCAGGAGCAGGCGTCGTTTCCAGATTTTTTCTCAAGGGGCGGGCGGCCAGTAAGATCGACAAGCGAGGCAAAGCGAGGCCTCTAGTGAAGGCATGCGGCTGGCCGCTTCCGAGGCGGGGCCCTCGCCCGTTTAGGCGGGGCCACCGCCGTCGGCTTCCGCTTCAAAGTGAAGACAGTGCGCTTGCGAGGCCTCTTGGCCTGCGCCTTGCCCTGCGGCGCGCGCCCCTTGATTCCCTGTCGCGTTGTCTCTTTCGCTGCTTCAGCTGGGAATGCAAGCGGGCGCCTAGTGAATTCCGCCCATTCTTCGTCCGAGATCGCCATCGTCGCCACTTTGTGGAACAGCAGGTCGACTTAGCGCATCTGTCTGAGAGCAGGCGAATATAGAGCAGTATTGTGCGTTAACAGACAGGCGAGGAAATTCACCTGGAGCTGCGCGCGGATGGTCTGTACAAACACGTCTGGTTGATTTCTGAACCAACGGTTGATGCAGCTGTGAAATGCCTCGTTGGGCGACGTGCCCGAGCCCAGGAGTCGCAGCTTCCCCGCAGCAAACGAATGGCGAAACCGCTGGCTTTTCATGTAATATTCGAGGCGGTCGGGGGCAGCAGCGCACCACACCACGCGCTTAAGGGTCTTGCCCGCCACGCGCGTGCAGCGCTGAACTTCGTCCGAGAAATAACACGTCAGCGCAGCCAAGGCCTGGATGAACTCAAATCTGCTCCCCCACGGCTTCTCCCCGTCGAGCGCCCCCAAGATCTTCGAGGCCCTCGCGCAGGTTCTCTAGGCTCTCGGTTTCGAAGGTGAAAGAACCAGAATCCTCGCCCGAATCACCAGGACCTGCACGCGCAGCCCGCGGAGGAGACATTGACCTAGACCTCTGGGACGCACGTTGTGAAACCGACACAACGTCAATGAACGTGCTGCTCACGGAAATCACGCGTGCTCGACCGATGGTTAGCACTGAATGTGAATAATGCAGTTGCGAGCCTCAGCGTTCACTGATTTGAGCCTAACAACTACGAAATCTCATATGTTCGTTGTCCCATGTCTGGGCCCCATTCTGGATGCCTTGCTGGACGCACTCCTGGATGCTCTCCTGAGCTCTCTCCAGGCCTCTTGCAGCTCCCTCCACGGGTCCTTGGTCCGTCCATTGCTGGTTGGCATTCTGCCCCGTTAACCCGAAGACGCCCTAGGATGGTTCCACGACGGTCTAAGCGGCTTCCAAGAGGCGGCCCAAAGATGGCCCCAAGACGGCCCAGGTGGACCCCAAGACGGCGCCTAAGATGGAGCCAAGGCCGCGCCCCAAGACGCCGCAAGTGGCTTCCAAGAGGCTGCCCAGTACGGCCCATGGACGGGAAAAAACATTGTTTTGCATACTTCTCAAAACTACTCAAACACAATATGCAAAGCACCACTTGCGAGATAAGGCTGTGCATTCTTCTAGCGGGGTTGCGTTCCTATCCCTTGAATTTGCTTGTTTTGAATGAAAACTACAAATACACCAAAAACATATTGAAAATATAATTGTTTATATTCGTCAAAATACCACACAAACTATATGAAACACAGAACTTGCGAGATAAGGCTGTGCATTTTTCAAGCGGGGTTGCGTTCCTATCCATTGAATTTGCTTGTTTCGAATGAAAACTACAAATGCACAAAAAAGTATTAAAAACATAATTTTTCATATTCATCAAAATACCACACAAACTATATGAAACACAACTTGCGAGATAAGGCTGTGCATTCTTCAAGCGGGGTTGCATTCCTTTCCCTTGAATTTGCTTGTTGAATGAAAACTGCAAATACACCAAAAAAGTATTGAAAACATAATTTTTCATATTTGCGTAAACACCGCAAAGACTGCATGAAACGCATAACTTGCGAGATAAGGGCGTGCGTTCTTCAAGCGGGGTTGCGTTTCTTCTCGTGGTCCCCTGGTGGCTCCTTTCGTCGCTCCTTCCTCTGAGGGCATCCGAAAATGGGATGCCCCTTTTTTCAGCGAGTCTGACGACCCGCGCCCGCTTGGCTCTCATCGCCGCTCACCCCTCGAAGAAGTTGATGCGCTGCCTGGCCTCCCAGTAGCTCTGCTGCACAGTGCGCAGGCGGCGCTGGAGGTCGCCGTTGCGTTTCTTCTCTTTGCGCAGCTCCTCGTCTCTCTTCAGGTTCGTGCAGACCTTGAGCGACTCTGCCTTCAGATTCGCCGCCGTCTTGGCCAGCTTTTTGGCAGTCTCCTCCTTCTCCTTCTTCTCCTCAGATTGAACGCAAACAGGCGACATATGGAGGACTTGCCAAAGGAAAAAACTGTTTGGAGTTTTTGTTTTTGCAGGGGGTACTATGTCGCCAGATTGCGTTCCCGATCCTGCAAGTAAGCCATCTTGAACTTTTTCGCCTCCGCCCACGCCTGCTCGGCATCCTCGCGGCGGGCCTCTGCAGCGTCCTTGGCGGCCTTGGCGTTGCGGAAATGCACGTTGGACCGCCTCCTGCGGAAAATGCGGAAATTAAGTTTCCGTATCATTTCGAAAGTGCCAAACCTATATTTAATGGTAGAATTTTGACACGACCCACAAGGTCCTGAGGTTGTCTGCTTCGGTCTGTTGCTTTTTGGCTACCTGCCCAAACCGGCCCTTGAGCTTCAGCGCAGCCGCGCGGGCGCCCTCCGCCATCAAGCGCCGCGTTCGGGGCTGGAGCAGAAACTGGTGAAGGCGTTCGTTTGCCTTGTAGTCAGCGTTTTGTTTCAGTTTTGCCTGGTAGGCTTTCGTGCCCTTTTTGGGATTTCCCATTTGGGCTGAAACCTCGTTTGACTTGAGCCAGAACCTCGTCGCGGCGCGACAATGATGCGAAAGAGCGAATTATTGTGAGAACGGAGTGAGGATAACTAATGCTCTGCTCACTTTCTTGTATTCCCCTCGTCCTTTACTCCCCGTCCTTTCCCTATAATCGCCCTCCTCTTCTTCCTCCTCGTCCTGCTCTTCCTCTGTTTCCTCTACTTCCTCCTCAGTCTCACCGTGTCCCCCGCTGACTGCTCGCACCACCGCCATCCTGATGTCCCCAGGAAAAATCAAAATCGGAATTCGATTTTGATTTTTTTTGATTTTTTGCTTTTTTTATTTCAATTTCCCGAAGCCTCCCAATTGGGAGATTATTATTAGATTTCAGAGGGCACCAGGAATAAGAATTTCAAAAAAATCAAAAAAAAAAAAAAAAAAAAAAAATCAAAATAATCAAAATCGAATTCCGATTTTGATTTTTCTGATTTTTTTTTAATTTTCCAAATTCCCGAAGCCTCCCAATTGGGCAGGTCATTATAAGATTTCAGAGGGCACCAGGAATTTGAAAAAAAAAACAAAAAAAAATCAAAATCGAATTCCGATTTTGATTTTTTTTGATTTTTTTTTTTTTTTATTTTTCAAATTTCCGAAGCCTCCCAATTGGGAGATTATTACTAGATTTCAGAGGGCACCAGAAATAAGATAAAAAAAAAAAAAAAATCCGATTTTGATTTTTTGTTTTTTTTGTTTTTTTTTAAATTTTTCACATTCCCGAAGCCTCCCAATTGGGCAGGTTATTATAAGATTTCAGAGGGCACCAGGAATTTGAAACATTTTTTTATTTCAGAAAAAAAAAAAAAAAAAAAAAAAAAAAAAAAAAAAAAAAAACGATTTTGATGTTTCTGAGTTTTTTGATTTTTCTGTTTTTTTTTTTAAAAAAAAATTTCC